TAAGGAAACGTTGATAAATTATGTAAGGAAACGTTGAAACCTTGTAGAAAGCTGTCTTCGTGTAAATTTGCCCGTTGTTCTGTGCTATTGTGTCTCACCTGAGCCTGCCACTCTGAAATAAGATTACTCAACTATTATACAACACATAAAGGGTGCAGAGAATAAACTTCGAATGCTTTCACAGAGTCCGTGTCGTTCGGAGAGGTTGCGACTCACCTTGATTGAACCGAAGAACGAAAGTTTCCGATTCCGCAGGCTGAGGCTCTTCTTCGCCACAACTTCGAAGTCATCTTCAGCGCTGCTCTTCTTCTTACACTCTGAAATTTTCACCCTCACTGGTTGAAGGTAAAGCAGATATATATTTTGATCACAGAAGTCAACTTGAATCTCGATCCAATTAATCACTAGTTGCCAAAGAGTTGTGAAGAAGTTGTGGCGCGAAGATTGCTCCATAGCACCAAATGGCGCTAATTGGCTTGTGATGCTAGTCAGTGGAGGAACACATTGCCACGAGCTCAGCGCGGAAAAAAGCTGTACGCCTGGCTTATGATTTACATGAATCAAATTGTTTTTCCTGTAGAGTTCATTTAGCATGGTATCCTTGGAACTGGTTCAGTTCTCTACAAAAACCCTAATCGTGGAACGGTCTGGAATCCAACAACGATTCCTTCATGAAAAAGCGAATTTGCTAATGCTTGCTCTCTCAGCCATTAAAAGCAGCTTGGCTCCCTGTCACTGTCAATTATAGGCAATTCGAGAAGGGTGATGTAGCGCTTGTTTTCAGGTAATTCGAACCAGGGTGAGGTATCCACCAATGGTTGCTCCACTTAAAGTAGATAAAATATAGATCACCCTTAACTTTTGCTACAAAAATTGTCTTGCTCTCTCTTAAAAATGTGATATTTATTTGGCGTATTATATTTTGGTAATTTAGTGGTTAGAGGTAAGCCCGATTAGCGCAAAATGGTATTAGCTCCGAAGTGGACATCATATCAAGATCACTAATGAATCTCATAAGGTATGTTTTTACTGGTCAAAAAGGTTGTGTCGCTAAATAAATATCACATTTTTACGCCATCAAGGGTCGAACTGTAACCCGATTCAATGCCGTGCAAACAAACGCTCACTACACTACTTGATGAAAACTCCAAGGGTTTCCAGTATATAGTATGGAAAAGAAAGATTAATTCTATTTAGCATTGTTTCCAGTGTGAAATGCGCCAAATACAATTGGTTAGGGATACAGTTACTATGAAATACATTAACGATAAGTGTAAAAAGTGTGCTTTCGGGAATCTTTAAACCTCCTCAGCAATTTTAAAAGCGAGCAGGGACATGGAATCTTCTTGTTCTTCCCATATATGCCCCTGACAGCATGCAAAACCGTTTTGACAGATGGCTTTATGTCTGAATGGCCCTCCTTGACTCTTTCACCGTCATTAACATTGCTGCAGAATATACGGCCTCCATACTATCTACCATATGCAGTATTAGTATTTAGTTGGTACCGCACACGCTCCCAGCACCATTAATTTGGCGTTTCATTGGTCATGCACCGAGCACGGCGGGCATCACCACTAGTGTGAGTTCCAGAAGTTCCAGAAGCCTTTGATGGTCATGCACCGAGCACGGCGGGCATCACCACTAGTGTGAGTTCCAGAAGTTCCAGAAGCCTTTGATGGTCATGCACCGAGCACGGCGGGCATCACCACTAGTGTGAGTTCCAGAAGTTCCAGAAGCCTTTGATGGTCATGCACCGAGCACGGCGGGCATCACCACTGGTGCGACTTCAAGTAGTCATGGTGCACGGCGCGCATTCATCACCCTCTGACTTAAGTAGCCGCGCTAACACGGCAGGCATCACCACCCACCGCCACGACCTCTAATAGCTACGATGCCATGGAAATCTAAAAAAAGTTCTTGTCAAAGAAGAAGGCTATATGTACGGTGGCATTAAACTACCCGGGCCACTTCTTGTTATTGGGTACATAATCTAAGTACTCCATTAAACGTTGCCAACCACAGTGAGTTTACATAGTGTCATGGTTTTTTGATCCAAGTAGAGCAGGGAGAGGGGAGGGGGGTGTGAGAGATCGCGAGCACAGTGGTCATCATTGAACAGAGCAGTGACAGCCCTTCTCTTGGGAGTGCATCGCGCTGCGAGAACCTCAAAAAGTTAGCCTCTCCTTTGGTGCTCACTGGGCGTGTCTAATCTCGTGCGTTGTCTGCAGGATAAGGCACACGCCGAAATCAGTTGCGGTAAAGAAATCCTGGCAACACAATAGGCTGATCATTCGGTTCTCAGAGCGGCTCGAACAAATAGGCCACATAACAAAATGTTGTGTTAAAGAAACCTTAAAATATTTACAGGATTCCTGATGATAGCCGACTATATAGCCCATCCCCAAGAGACCAATCAAAGCCTAATGCTCCAGCTCTTATTCGGGAAAGCAGGAGGTTGGTCACCCGAAATTTCCGGATGAATAAATGTCTTTGGTCCTTCATCTTATGTGAAGATAAGCAGGAAAGAATTGCGAGCATTTAAAAACGCAATTTTCTCTGTTACATATAAAGCAACAGCCAAGAGGTGTTTTATGGAGCTGGCAGCAGCAAAAAGAAATTAAAATTAGGCGAAGATAGAGACTGAATAAAGTCAAAACTCACCAGAATCCCCAGATGGTGAAGAGATGCGCCGATCGTTTGGTAGTCGGAATTGCACTTCGTTCATTGGAGAGCACTCGCCCGACTGAAAAGAAACTGCTAATTTAACCAAGCACTGACGGGATCGATTGCTGAATTGATATACTCTAATCTGCCGAGTTCGAATTGTTTGTGTTTTTGTTTGAACCCAATCAATATTTGTCATAGCCAGGGAATTATTTACGTGCTCGAATTATGCGTTTCAGAGAAGGGCCGAAGCACTGCTTGTTCCTGTGGAAGCAAAAGAAACAGAGCTGAAACCCCAAGAAAGCGAAAATGGATTGGGTTTGGTTGTTTTGAATGACTGACAAATTCCGGTAATGAAAAGTGAATCACAAGAAGCTCTTTCACTTTTCAATCGTACATTCACATTTTGATCAGATGTAGCAAAATCGATGACTATTTAATAGAGATTCAAAACGAGAAAAGTGAAAATAGTCAAAATCAAATGCTCTGGAGTGGTTACTCACCTCAACCTCCTTCAGCACATTTCCATGGACACCAGTGCCGATGCCGCCGTTCTTATCCTGATTCGGGGAGCTCTTCTTTCTTGTGAAAATGCTGAACTTTCTGTCGATCATTGCTGAGATTTTACGAGTCGCACCGGAGCTGGACGAACGCTAAACGAAGCTCAGGTTGCCGTCAACCATAAAAGTTGAACTAATCGAAGGCGATGGTGGGGGTAAGGGCCAAGTCCGACAACAAGGCGACATCATGGAAGCCGATAGGATCTAGGCTGGTTGCAGTCCGCTTGTTAGAAAATAAGCTCCCAAACGATGTCCCTTCATTGGCCTATCCAGACTTTTGACCAGAATTGGGGACTTCCGCTAGACCATCCGATAATTTTGCACTAAAAAATCCGACTCATTCCATTTACTCTGCTTCATTCAAAGCTTCTTGTTCAGTTCAAAAAAGTGTTCCTAAACTAAGGCACAGTCTTCGGAGAATCCCAGAGTCTTCGGAGAGAGATTTTTAATCTCTAGGGCAGAGTACCTACTTCTTTAGTGAAGTCACACCCACCCCACCACAGTCGTGACCTTGTCATACTTGTGGCACCTAATCAACCCTCATAGGCAGTAAGCACAATGACTGGAAGGCGGTGCGGTTTCGATGACGTCATTGAGCATCATTGGTGGACTAGCGAGGGGTGTGGTTGGGACCGCCTCCTAACGCCCTTTCCACCAATAAGGTTTAGTGACGTTACCAAAATGTCCCGCCTTCCAGCCACGGTGATCACTGCCTTTAAGCATTTTTTGATGACGTCACTGCAACCAGCGATTTTTGGTAAAACTGGGTATGCTTATTTCTAAATACCTGACTCACAAGAGAGTGGATCGATTTCCATATCAAATTCATCGCCGCAAGGGGTCGAGTTTAAGAAGAAATCGATGGCCACTGAGAAGGAGAGTGAACGAAAAACACAGGACAAACTAGCGGTGCACAGACAAGCAACAAGCCATGCATGTTCGAGCCCTACTATGAAGCTCAACCGATTATTGAGCTCTGTGAATTTTTGGATTCGATTCAAATCTATGCATATTTTGCCAATAACCAATCGAACACTACCACGTAAGCAGGAATTTTGACGAATCGAGAAACACCGCAATAACCCCCCCCCTACCGAAGGCGCCATGCAACCACAAGGATTTCCACATTGATTACACGTTTCTTACTGACGGATATGCAGCGACTTCGGCACCATGTTGCGTTTCAAAACTCTAATGGGCTTGCTGTATTAACTAGCTTAAGAAACGTGAGGGAAACCATTTCCGGGTGATTGGGAGAGTTCAGTGATTCAAAAAATCCATTCTCAATGTTCTGCAATTTGATCTCTCGAATAGCTTTGCTAGAGAGGCGGCACCAACCAGAGCCTTCTGTAGAGGCGGGCGCAAACTCCGCCCACACGATTGGCGTGCAATGTAACCTTGAGGGTCTCTAGCCAAATTGTCGTTTCTTTTCATCACGATGGCCCAGTCACTTCATTTCAATCATTCTCATTTTTTGGGAACGATAACCTGCATTCATTTGAGCGCGGACTGTGCCCTTAGGTACGAAACATAACACCACGTGCAATGATGTGCATAAAAAGACAGAGTGAATGAAGATGAGAGTGGAGGTGAAGAGGTTGTGTACAGGTGGGTAAGGGATGAGCGGAATTGACTGGAATATTTGCATAATTTTCGCATAATCACATAGTTCTTAAGGCTAGCTTAACGAAGCCTAATCTTTACCGCTTGAAATCGGACACCGGAACAGCTCTGTTCCGCTCTACCCAAACGTGAAAAACACGGATTTATTCACTTGTTCTCCATTTCGAGCGGCAGTGAAAGGATTCGTGGTCCTGCTTGCCGACCGCGCCGCGACCGCACGCGCGTCGACAAATCCGCAACCACGACCCTTCCAGCAGTAGGAAACGGAGTTTTTGTGCGTTTGCACGTGTTTGTGAGCCACTTTATGTACAAACACAAATCGACCGATACATAGCAAACGTACCAAACGCATTCGCATAGCCATTGGGGCTAGCATATCCTCATCGTACTGAAATAGAGGCGGCAACTAACACAATCAAATATGCTCTACGGCTAATGCATCCGATTTTTTTAAATACCATTTCTACTTGAATGTGAAACCCGACTAGTTTCTACCCCGCCCCCGCCCCAACCCCGTCAGGAAAAGCTCCGAGTGCGACAAAAGACAATTTAAAATCTATATGAAAATGAAAAAAAAGAAAACGTTCTCTAGATGAACAAAAAATAGTTATTGATTGCGAGTCATACATAAGTACAACGATGCAGCACATCGCGCTCGCACGAAACGAGCACGAGTGCGCCGAGGTGCTACACGATTCTCTAGACACTACACAGGACCGTGTGCTATGCTCCCACGGCTGGGAACGGCGAAGGGGTTCCCTGGATGGTCCTTTTGTTGCTTTTCCACCTGGGAATGTCCCAAGGAAAGGTGAATTCACAAGGAGTGCATGTGAACAAAAAAAAACGTGCCAAAACTGAAGAAACTACCTCATAAAACAAATGATTTCACGAGGGTTGCGTTCCCAGTCCCGGCCGGGTAACATAGCGCGCGACCCGCACTGAAGTGGCGGGGGCGTGGCACGGATTAAAGTAGTCTGGCTAAGGTGCGTGCATGATGATGTATGTACTACACATCTTTCGAGCTCGTCACTCACCTTATCACTGCTGACACTGCCGCGAGAGTTCGAACGAAGAAGTGGGTCAGATTCGGGGTAATAGGCTCCCGAACGCTTCTTCTTTGCCTTCTTTTTCTCTTTCTTCTGTGATTCCTCGCCGTCCAACTCTTCCCATCGGATTTTCCACGACATCGCCGCCAACTCCTGTTCCAGTTTGTAGCGTCTAAACAGAAAAGTTAAGTTAATGAGAAACAAGCGGAAAACAATTCAGGTGTTTTTTTTAAGAACTTGATAGGAATCAAAAATATGGGTAGGTTTACAAACGTCTAGGTGGGGTCACTTTCGCACCCAAAAGCGCATGAAAAGGACTAAGAATTTTTGAGCTCAAACCTACAGGGTTGCTTCGGTCACCAATCGTTGCAAATGCTGTGATGTCTGCGTCTCGCTTGGCACTATGTTTTCTCGTCCCAAGTCTACTCTCTGAGCTTAACTCGAAGTGTCTCTTAAACTGCCTACCCCTCGTTGGACTTGGAATTTTGATCTGATGTAGGTGCTGGCGCTAAACCGGTCACCTTAGGGCCTGCTCCTCCAGCGCCTAGCTGTGGCTCTTCTTCTTTACATGCAACTTCTCTAATGGTAAGAGCGACTGCTTACAAATCAGTGATGACAGCGCTATGTAGCGGCGCCTGAAGCACATTTTCGTAGAATGAAGGCTGACTCACCGCCAGAAGAACACAAACAGCAATGTGAGCAATAAGGATCAGTCCCGCCGATGCGGCCAGAAGATAAACATGCAGAGGATAACCCTATAAAAATCTTACTTGAATTCGGTAGGAGAAAGAAATGAAAGAAAAGGTAGTAAATAATAATAGTAAAAACTGTAAACAATAAATATAATAAATTATCGGATAATAAAGTTGCAGCTGACCTCGCTCTCTACCTACTCATTTTCCGTTTCTATCAGGTGTTTGGATCAATGTCAAGTGATAAAATACAATAATCCTAATTACTTGATCGCCTTCGTTTGTCCGTTCGTCTTATTGTCAGTCTCACAAAACCCGGCCTACCTAGGCCGCTGTCAGACTTTGCGAATCGCGCGATTCGCTACTAGCGATTTGCGCGATTCGCTAGCGTC